TCAGGTGGCGAGAGGGTGAGAAGAGAAGGTGGACTTAGAAGAGGAAGAAGAAGAACTCTCTCTCTCTCTCTTTGTGTCCAGTACTAACCTGTGAAGTTGGCGCCTTGATGCAGGTACCACGAAGATGGAGCTGAAGCGATGGCGCCACAGGTAAGTAACACTGGCCTCCGCCAGTCTCTCTCCCACTCCACGATCTACCACCTACCAGCGCCCAGCGCTGAAGACTACAGCTACAGCTATGGTGCCCAGCGCCGAAGACTACAGCTAGCGCTAATACCTACTGACCAGCGCTGAAGACTACAGCTAGCGCTAATACCTACTGACCAGCGCTGAAGACTACTGCAGCGCTCCTCCTGAGTGCTGCGGCCGAAATCCTGAAGACTACCACTGCCTACTGACACTACCTACCCGTGAAGTGCATGGGAACTTCCTATGTACTACAGGTGTGCCTCCTGAGCCTGCCGAAGGGAGGCAGGGGCTGCAGTTGCAGCTCCTGCTCGAACTCGTGAGGAACAGGTTATTTCTGGCCTGTTCCGCATCCCTGTTTACGTGCCTGAGTCTTAGGGGCAGGTCGTTAATTCCGATTAACCTAGTTAGCACTAATTAGGGTTAGTCCTAACGTAATCTAACAACCTACCGACCTATCAGGCTATGGGAAGTAAGTGCCAGCCAGGCACCTCTCCAATTACGGCAAATCAAGCCTAGCACCTCCACATTCAAACTGCAACTTCATGGAAGTTTCACTTTTTGCAAAACGCATCTTTTATTGCGATCGAAGATTAAATCTTTATGGCAAACAGTGTATCTTCCTATGACCATTGATCTTCTACTTACCTCATGACCTCGAAATGATGCTGAATTCTCCCGATTAAATTTTATGAAATTGTTTTATTAAATATTTTGACTAAATGTTTAATCTTATTTAAACTTTATTCAATTTTATTTTTGCAAATTTAAGTATTCTTTATATAAATATTTCATTTTTGCCAAATTAAAGTTTTATTTAATTAACTCCTATTTTGCCTGATTAAATTTACTTAATTAAATAATTAAATATTTAATATTAAATTTTAAAATTTTAAAATTTTTTGTGGGGGGAATTTTTTTTTTTCTTCTTCCTGATTAGCGTCAAGTCCGAGGTCAGGGCAGGAAGGGACTGTCTGTGCATTGCTTGCCTGGCTCCCTTCTTCCCACCGTTGTTTTCACTCCCCTCTTCTCAGTACTACGGACTTCAGCCTCCGGACACGTCAGAAGCGTGACACGCAGCAGCAATGCGGAGTCGGGAGTGCTAGATGCGCCGCAGCCAACGACTTGCTGAACAAGGATCCAAGGGAACTCAGCCCCAGCAGGGCCCCAAGTCATCTCGGATCCCGCGGAAACGACGCACGACCATGGCCGCTACCGCTGACACCAACTCACAAGCCAGCCCCACGAGGCCGGTTACTCCTATGCCAGTTCAGCAGGCGGATGAAACGCAACTAGCGTTTCTCGAATGTCTCCAGCTATACTCGGAGACTATTGCAGCCGAACTGCGCAAATGGGAACAGGAAGAAGTTGCCCGCCAGTAGGCAATCCAACGACAGCTGGCAGAGGTCGAGGCAGCGCGTCAGCAGGCCGTTGCAGTAGCTGCAGCAGCCGCGCGGTTACAGCAACAACAAATGGAGGCAAGTTAGAATCAAGTTCGTTACCAGGCCATAATGGAGCTCACAAATGAAGAAGCTACCTATCGCAGGTTACTGCGACAACAACACTTTCAAGCAACTGAAGAACAAGAAGAGCCGAGCGAGGAAGAGAGAAGCAAGGAGGCCACAACAGTACTGATGGAAAACCTGCTGTACACGAACTGATGGCCATGCGACAGATCTTCATCCGCTGCGAAGGAACTTTTCAGACGATGGATCAGAAGATTATTGCTTTGCAGGTCGAGAACAGCACATTGTAGGCCGCCAACAGTCAACAACAGACCATCAACGACCAGCTGCAGGCCACTGTCAGCACAGGATTGGCACGACTGTCTGCAGTTGAGTCGAGGGGCAGTGCAGTAGCAGACTGCAGCCCAACTTCGGTCGCTGAAGCCAAACAACTCGAAGAGCGGATCAACCACGTAGTCGCATCCCTTGGCGACATCAACTAGTTCGCCAGGACGTCTACGGTCAGCAATCATTTGCAGACGCTCAGCGACCTCGTTCAACAACGAACGATCGCCGTCGTCAAGGAATGGAAGATGTCGAACTTCAAGATTGAGAAGTTCGACGACTACCACAAGATTGATCCGCTGCAATGGTGGATGGCATTCAACGCGGAGGCGAACGTGCATCACGTCCCACCACTATGGCGGCTTGATGCGTTCTACCTCCAACTCATCGGAGGGGCGCATGCGTTCATGACTCACATGGTCGTCACGTTGGAATGCACCATCGCAACCCTCCACACCAAGATCTCTTGGGAGGACTTCGAGAAGAAGTGGAAAACCCGGTTTATGGTCAACAACGACAAGCGTCACGCATTGAACAAAATCTTTCGTATGTTTCAAGGCCAACAACCATCACGCAAGTAGCAGCGATCCAACAAGGATCTAGTGAGGACCACGCAGCCGCTTCAACATCAAGTGACGGAGATGTGGCGGCAGCCATACCACCGCAACGCTCAAGACCCCGTGGGGGAAAACATAAGGCGAAAACAGCGTCGGCGGATGGAGCGAGACAGTCACCATGGACGAAATTCCGGATCACCGAAGACATGTTCAAGTTACGACATAAATGGGGGTGCTGTTTATGGTGCAACAACACCAAACACATCACTAGTGCGTGCCTCGACAAGGACAAAGAAAATGTCAAGCGTCCAGGCTCGAAAAATTGAGCACCGCGGGAAGTGCAGTGACAACACTTTCCAGTCCACCGGACTCGGCTGTCTTGCTAGGATTCTCTCTCACGTCAGGGGAAGACGTGGTAGTCGCAAGTTCTCATATCGACTTCGAGAACTATGCTGTCCAGCTGGTCCCACCGTTGAACCAGCCTCTCCACGTGCAAGATTCAAGCGCATGCACGGTGTTACCACCGTCGGACAACGAACCGGTTGCTTCGCCAGCCCTTCTATCAGAGGACCCGTCGACTTGGCGAGTCTTGAGGAACTCGACCCGTTGACGGTTGAGGACTTCCAATGGTTGCCTCTTCCCTCCACCGGCTCTTTGCCAACACCGCATTGCAACGCCTTGATGGCAAATTTG